AGCTAGGTGGGCGTGGCTTCAGCAACCAGCTCCCGCCTCTTTGCCCATTTTCGATTATCCTGGAGTGACGCGCTGCCAAGATGGCGACGGCTGGCTCCGCCCACTTTGAGCTTCAAAACCGCTCTTCAGAAAACTATGGGTGACGTCACGGACACTACGTCCATGTTTTTATACAGTCTATGGTTTAACTGCTAAAAATAACTGAATAAAAAAAGGCTTTTCACAGAGTTAAACCCAGCACAACCTAGTGAACCAGGTTTCAGAGATAAATGATTTTTATAAGACGAATATGCTTGTGATCCTAACATCTCCTAACACTAAAAACTTGGAATGACTTACTAATATGCATTTAGGGAGAGTGAATTTTAATTTTAGTCCAACAACATTAACTCATTAACTAAAATATCTTCTCTATGCAAACCTACATTATTTCCGCAACTTTTCAAAGCCTGGAAACCATTACCTCAGAAATTCCTTGATATTCCTACCTTGATCTTGACATAGCGGTCGGACTGATGTCTGATGAACTTCTTGGTCCTTTTCTTGAGGATTTTAGGTTTGGTGAGGGGTCGGAGTTGAACCATGATGCCTACAGAGTGAACATGCAGAAATTAAAGAGACACTGAGTTTAAAATAATATACATTTACACATTTAAGAAAGTCTAATAAGTCATTCTATATAAACAGTCAAGATGACTCGCATCTTACTAGGGCTGTCTCGATTCGTCGATTCTATTCGACTATTCGATTTTTAAAAATCCTCTGCCTGCGTCGACTAACCAGCAAAATACCGGAAGTGGCACATTTCACGGACGTGAATCCATAAAACACATTATTAGACTGTTTTCCAAGGCCTCATGATATATTAAACCCGTTTAAAAATCATAATTAAGCATAACTGTGAATTCAAACGCTACGATTTAATTAAATAATTATATGCGATGCAGTTCTAATACAGTATATGCGCTTTAATTATTTACATGCGTGTCGGTTAAGTACGTGCGTCACACAGTGGCTCCGTTCACAGTAGTTCTCGACTAACCAGCAAAATACCGGAAGTGGCACATTTCACGGACGTGAATCCATAAAACACATTATTAGACTGTTTTCCAAGGCCTCGTGATATATTAAACCCGCTTCAAAATCATAATTAAGCATAACTGTGAATTCAAACGCTACGATTTAATTAAATAATTATATGCGATGCAGTTATAGGCGTGTAGGTTACGTACGTGCGTCTCACAGCGGCTCCGTTCACAGTAAATGCTGTTCCACAGGAACTCTTATCATTTACATGCGTGTGGAGCGGCTCAAACTCCATCTGTGCATGTTGTTGTGAGTTTGGGTTTATTACAACGTTCATCTGGGAACGCAACATGCGCCATTTCATCAGATTTGTAAGGTAAATCATTTATAATTCCACGCAAACACGGGAGAATACATCATTATCTCGCGGTTTCAAAATAAAAGCTCAAACCCTCACTCTGAGTTTACACATCTTGATGTCCACATTCATTAAATTACAGTGGCTATAGCATTTCTGTCGTAAAGAAATGGCCAAATATTAAAGATTAAGTGGACATTTGAATTAAATGGTGCTTGGTCAATATTAAACAAGTATTAGATCGCACAGTAATGTGTAAAAACAATCATCAGGCTATTGGCGCCCCCTGCAGGCCTTTGTTGTAATGCATACTGTACATTAGCACTATTCACTGATCTATAATAAGAGATTATATTATATTATTATTATATATAGATCAGTGGCTCTATTACACTATAATACAGTATTTTAACAGTTTTGTTCAATAAAACCATGATTTCTTGCTTTCGATACTTTATTTGAACTAATTATTGCCTCATTGCTATTATATATGTATTTTAAGTAAATTTAAAGGCTATTGTTCACTTAACCTACATCTATTTTTATTACCACAAAAATTAATTATTAATTATAATATTTTATTATTAGTAGACATGTTGTCATTCTTACACTATAATACTGAACTTTGATTTCCGTGATTTGGACTATGAGATGGACACTTGCTTCTTGCACTCTATGTTGCACTTTACTTTTGCTTTAAAGGATTTCATAGAAATTTGGATTTCATTTGGAGTTTCACTACTGAAGCCCTCTGTTCATTTTTTTTCATCATGCTGGAGATGTCTGTTTAAATCCGGTTTACACATTTCTAAGAGTACTTTTAATACTTAAAATGTTTAATAATAACTTTTAATAATACAATTTTAATACTTTATTCTAGTGGACTCTAAACATTGCATTTATTTAATGTGAAAACCCAACTGTTGGGGTTAATTGAAACAGATTTTTTCCCCCTTTGTAGTTGCACTCACAGCTGTAATGAACAGAAGCCCAGAACATGTGGATATATTGACATTAAGAACATGCTGACTTTCTCAGACTTTTGTAATTATTTTCTTTTTATTTCATTTTTATTAG